ACATTACTCATTACTGATTAGTGATTACTTATTATTGTTTTCATTACTTAGATTTACATAACTCATTCATTATGGAAAAATATTTGAAACGAAAAGCTTCATCATCAACCGGTAATGATGCATCCAACAATGTGATTGATGTTAACGATCTTCCTTGGGATCTATCCGAAAGACCCAAAATTATAACTTATAACCCAAATCAAAGAGACGAAATTAGACGAAAATACTTGGTAAAGGGTCCTTGTCAACCACGAGGTCACATCTTTCCAACCAAAGTTATAGGGACTAAAGAAAGACGCCGAGGACAAATTTAGGAGTTGTTTCTCAACATACTTTTTGTAATTATTTTTGGGTATATATTGACCGTTTTCAAAAGATGAAGACGAGTCGGGTAAAAGTTTAGGAGTTGTTTATCGGTATAATAAAAACCATATTTTTTGTAATTATTTTTAGATATATATTATATTATATTAATTATATGGTGCCACCGTATGAAAAATTTTCTGGGTCCGTTCCTGCTTTGATTTGTATTGACATTGCTCTTATGATTGGGCTAACTTGAATTTCCAAATTGTGGAGACGAGGAAGTACCCGTTATCATTCTCCTCTTTTAAAAAGGAATTGCCTATAAATCATCATCACCTACATCGGAAGAAGAACGATCGTAAAAATTAGTTGATCTAACTTGATACTCACCACATATATCAAACTTGAAAGCATTATCATTGTTTTTTCCAAGAATTTGGAATGGTCCATTTCCTAGGGGTTGCAATTTTGGTCTTTTCTTCGCTTAAAATCGTTATTCGTTACTAGGTTCAAATAACATTGTCTTTCAACCCTTTTTGATCGCTTCATACGTTGATATGCCCTCTGGCCTCTTCTCAATATTGAGTATTGCCTTCTCATGCAATTGTTTCACTGACCGACCTTCCTTCATCTAGGTGTGTATGTTCTTCAGTAGAAATAAGGACAAGACTAAGGATACTCAAATGATTAAAGCCATACAAAATCTCAAATGGAGAAGAGTTACTGGTAGAAGGAATGCTTCTCTTATATGCAAACTCTACACGTTTATTTTCCTATTTTTGTGGTTTAACTGAATTTAAGTCTGAAGTGGCCTCCAGACTTACAGCTCAACCCCAGCCAGGGGCTCTGCCCCTTGGACCCCGCCACCGGGGGCATTGCCCCCGGACCCCCGTTGTTTATGGGCTTCGCCCCTAAATCAAAACAAACTCAAACAAGTGTACACTCCGCACCTTCCTTACCTGTTCGATATTTATCATGATTACATTGTCAACAACTTAATCCCATTATACTTAAATGACATCAATGACATAAATCACCAACATAAAGTCATCAGATATTGGTTATTTCTCAGACTTACAACATAACTCTGAATTGTTCTGTTCCAAAC